GGGTCAGGCAAGTGGTCACTCATCTTTAGTGCCCAGCATCTATTGAAGCATATAAAACAGAGTAGGCGCTCAAAACACAGACTTGTAGAGACCAGATGAAGTACGTGCTTGGCATGTAGTAACTGCTCAATGAATAAGATGCACTAAATCACTGCCATCTAGTCAGATCCAGCTCATAGCTATGGTTAATGTTATTTTTATTCCTTTTTTTGTGGAATGGAAGGGAGGGAGGGTGAGAGAATAGGGAAAATGCTGTTAACTATATTTGAACAACAGATTAGCACTCAGCTGCTGACCAAAAGGTTGGCAGTTCGAGCCCACCCAGCACCTCCACAGGAACGAGACTGGCAATCTGCTTGTATAAAGATTATAGCCAAGAGAGTCCGATGGGTCGGTTCTACTCTGCCACGTGGGGTCACCAAGAGTCAGGATCTATCTGAGGGCTGGTAACAACAGAGGTGGCAAGGGGATGCATACACTGATGTAAAGTTCTCTCATGTCTCTGAGCAAGAGAAGGCAGGGTAAGAAGCAGCACCCTGGGATAGGAGGACAAGAGCTCAGCCTGCACTGAGTGGGACAGGGAAGTGGAAGGAGAAGAGAAGATGGGCAGTGCAGGACCAAAAGACGACAGTTTCTCCTTGAGTCTCCTCCTCAGTCCTGAGAAGGAAGGTGCAATTGGCTCAGAGCAATGGCCTGGCCAAGGTCCAAACCCCAACTTCATAAAGTTGCCCTAATGCTCCCATGCCCTCAGGCCCAGGGGCTCCTTCAATCCAGTGACCTTGGCTTATTATCTCCATGGTAACGGCTCACATCTCAAACTGTTCCTTCCTGTGTGGGAGGAAGCATTTCAGAAAGGGGGGAGGCAGGCTTGATCAGTGGCTTTTCTCTCTTGTGACCCTTCTCCTCTGGCAAATCATGTCCTTTTTCTGAACATATCCATCTCCTGGGGAAACCATTCACAAAAGAGGAGGTTTCTGTGGCATTGTTTGAGATACATGCCGGGATACATGTTGAGAAGTAGAAGCCCAACATTGCTTTTCCTGCAGCTTCGTGTGGCGTTCAATATTCCTCAGAGTGTTTCAGTATCCTCTTTATCAGAAGCTCCCCAAAGCGGGAGCTCAGCATCTCGGTCTCACGTTGGAAGAGGAAAGTGCAGGTCAGACAGGCCGGCTAGCTTCCCCAAGGCTGTGGAGCAAGACAACAGCAGAGCTCTGCTACAAACCCAAGCTTCACTGGGGGAGCCCTTACTCAACCCACATCTATACCCTGCCTTCCTGTGTTCCAGCCCCTGCTCCAGCCACTGTCATGGTCACCCAGCTGGCATGTCTGCCTCCAACCCTAGATCCTGCCTCCAGTCCCCTGACCCATGACACTCCACTGGGAGTTTCTCCAGCACAGTGCCCAGACTTTAGGGTAAGGATATTGAACAAATCTATGCTCTGTCCAAACCTAGAGTATAAATTACATTTTATGCTCAGTGTTCGGTCCATTCCACAGCGTCTAGGGTCAGAGCAGCAGTCTACAGGATGATAAACGACCTCCCACAGCTGGGTTCTAGAAGTGCGTGCCTGACCACAAAAACCTCCAATTGCAGCTCCAAAGTGCACCATGGGGTCCACTTTGCAACCATAGCCGCAAGCCAAGAGCACTCATTCCTTGGCCCAGCTTCAGCCTTTCCTGGTAGATTGGACCCCATGATTCTATCTGTGAGGGCAATCTTTTATACCACAGCATCCCTGCCTGCCTTTGACGTCTAAAGGTGTAATTAGAACAGCATGGAGCAAGCAGGACGATCCATTTACCTCATCCCTAACATTTAAGTGTTTTAAAATATGGTTCTAATATCTTAGGTGCACAGGGCCAAATTCCCTGTTCAGTTTCTCACATGCATGAGTAACTCCACACAGACCAAACCCCTTGGGTCTTAGGTTCTGCTTAGAACTTTTTTTTAAAAAAAAAAAAAAAAAAAAAGAAAACAAATACTCCATTAAAACGACATAGTGTACTCTGCATATTTTTAGGACAATTAGAGTTCAGAATTCCCTCTTCTTCCGCCCATGGTAAAAATCTTTTCCTTAACTATTTCCTTACTGAGAATGGTATTCAGCTGGGATAAACTGAGAGCTTTTCTCCTCTTTTACAATCACCTTCTCATCTTACATTGTCAAAGTACCAGCTGGTGGATCAGATCCTTGATGCTACTTGGGAAGGAGCCAAGCTCCTTGTATTGCCAGGTAACTCCTCCACCGAGACAGTGTTTTATGGGCCTGATGGAAACAGTCACTTGAAACAAACAGCCAAACTCAAAGGAAATCGAGAAACATAAAAAGTGAGTACACTTCTGCAATCTGCTTGATTCAAAACGGGTCACGGCTTGGTGATTTTTCTTCAGCTTTTCTGATCATGTGACTAAAACCACAGGGGAAAAAAAAAAAAAAAAGACTACAAATAGATTGTCCAGAGACTTCGGCCTGTGGACCAATGTGGGCCAGAAGGAATCAGAACCAAGTGGGAGGGCCCTAGAAATCAGTCTTAGATGGGAGGAGTCCAGGAGAGAAGGAGGGCCAACCCCAGCTTACAGACTTTGAGCTGCATCAGTCCACAGATTTGTGTTGCTACGAATACAGCAATTCCCTGCCCATGAGTCTGTGCTGCTGGGGCCATACGTGTGGATACTATTTGCCAAGCTAACATGCAAATCAAACCTTTTCTTGCAGCCGAATTTGGAGGAACCTCTTAAAGGCAGATGCCATGTCACTGCAGGTTCAGATCCAAAGGCACTGGGCCACCAAATTAAAAACAGAGATGTTGATGAAAGACCGTGTGCAGTTTGTTTTCCATTCATCGCAAAGCATCTCAAAGGACAGACAAGCCAAGCTTTGCTTATGCCAGGCTTCAGACAGAAATAAGATATGCCTTAGAGAGAGTCTGGCTTGGAAAATGAGCAAACCCCAGAGATGGTTTGGAGAATGTGTCTGTACTTCTTAGAAACTGGAAATTAAGTTGAAGAATCAAAGAATCCGTGACTTCCTGGGGAAAACGTGTTTGTTTATTTAAATTAAACAATATTGTGAAAAGTACAAACTGTTAAATACAGCAGACAACTCTGTACAACTCAATAGAATAAGGAAGAAGTATATACATCACTTCTGAATAGGTGCAGAGAGACTTGCACCCCACTTCAGGATAAAGCAATGGAAAATGTGACAATGCACATGTCTGTCGCAGTAAAGTTTCAGAATTCAAGTGATTCCAGGCAAGGGGCCAAACTTAACTTGGCTTCTTTCAACTAAAACAGCCCCCTTTGGAGTAAATCCACACTCCAAATTTTAAAGTGAACAGAGGGCCCTTTTCCCATAAAACATACATTTCCTCTATCTCTGTGTTAGGGCAGACAGATAAGCCAGCTCCTATTTGCTTAACCATTCCCTGGTGATAGTAGTTAGTGCTGTGACTCTGGTCCAGGAAGATTATCTCTCATTTAAAAAAAAAAAAAAGTTCTTCACTAGAATCAAATTTGCCCTTTGGGTGTATTTCTCTTCCTCCTTGCCTTCACGGTTCTGGAAGGTCTAGGTATCTATGGAGACACTGGCAAGCATGCTGGAATGTTTTTCTCTTAGACTTCTCATTCCCTTAACTGGACGTGTTAACATCATGCCACCAGGAATCCCACACCATGAGCTTTGCAGAGTAAAATGTGGTCTCTGCCTCTTTGGATCATAGCAGGGATGGGTTGGTGGTTCACCCTCAACTCCCCAGTTATATGCGCTTGCAGTTTCCAACTGCTCCTTCAAATAAGCAAATCCCAGCCCTTTTTAGACTAACTGGCTAAAATGTTTTGTTCTCCTCCAGCTTCCACACACCAGGCCTTGCAGAGTTTATCACGGTCTTCAAACTCTAAAGACATCCTCCCAGCCCCCTGGGGATACAATTATTAGAAGTCTCTTGAAGGCAGTAAGCCTTCCTGATGACATGCCCAGGACCACACAGCAAAGGAGTGTCAGGGCCCAGGACCAGGAAACACAGAACTTGGCCCCCAGTTTTGTGCAATCTCTGCTGGGAATGTCCTTCCTGATCTCAGCTACGTGACAGAATACCACAATATGGAGGCCCACAGAATGTCCTTCTCAGCTCAGAAGACGAGGCTGGGAAAATGAGTAGCAGCAGAGCTAACAGTTTGGCCTCATTCAACCCCACCATCATCCCTTCTAGAAAGGTCAGCAGAGGCCCCTGCATGGCCGTTCGGGGTGCAGGTCAGATTCTAGATAAGCCCTTCTGACCAAAAGGGCATCATTTGATGCTGGGCAGTCACTGGTCAGAGAGCAAAAGGTCATAGTTCAAACAAGGGGTCAAAATAGTAGATCATCTCATATAACCCCAGCCAATGTTAACAGGTTTTAAAGTTGCTTTTTTTTTTTTTTTCTTACAGTATGTAAAGGGCCAGGTTCAGATCTCCAGCTTTCTCCCAGCAAAAGTCTTCCATCAAACTTTTTCTTCTAATCCAAAAGAAGCTCTGTAACTGGCTGGGAACTAATGCCACAGGCTCACGGTAGAGGTACTTACAGCCAACCAGATCTAGAACAAAGCTCTAGGCAAGTTAGCGAATCGGAACTAGGCCCTCAGCATGTCCAGGCCGCCCTCTGAGTGGGGCAGAGGCTGCAGGAGTTACCAAGGTCATGCAGTGGGACGGGAACAGCACACTCGTCATCCTGCACCAAGTTCTGAACGCAACCCCAACACCCAGGCCCCACAGTCAACATGCTGCAGGCCTTCCAGGCGCCTTCGTCAGTGGGTTCAAGACACAGGCCCGTCGTGCTCCTCTTGCTGCCGCTGCCGGCTCCACAGAACCTTGCCCCTACCCCACCCCCGTCTGGGGGCTCACCTAGGGTCTCTCCAAAGCGGCAGCTGCCCTGGAAAAGGGAAAGCAGACACTTGCAAAGTGGCCTTGCTCTCACTAAGGGTGCTGGCTGACGGGGTCACCTCCAGAGGCCCCGGGAGTGCTAGGAATTCTGGTGGATGTTCTCCGAGGAGCCTTCGCTGCTTTCGTTGGGGGGCGTCTCCGAAGTCTCCCCCAGCTCGTCGTCTGCCCCCTCCTCCTGGATGGTGAGGTGCACGTCGGGAGACGAGGACTCGGAGCTGACACTGTCCCCTTCCATGGAGCAGAGGGTGCAGGCCAGGGCCGGCGCCACGCTCTCCTGGAGCATGTTCAGCATCATGGGCACGTGCACCGACCTCAGGCCCGAAACCATGGGCAGTGGCTTCATGGCCTCGCCCCAGAGCCGCTCCTCGTCCTTGTACAGCAGCAGCAGGCTGGACTTCTTCTCCCGCCGCTTGGACTTCATGTACCCCAGCATGATGCCAATCAAGAAAACACCGTAGAAGGACATGACCACGAGGACGTAGAAGTACTCGTTCCCCTTGTCGCTGTCTGGCTCCCGGGGGTTGCTGGAGGCCGCGGTGCTGGCGTGGGTGCTGTTCACAAGCTCCATCGTCCACATGGAAGCACTGCTCACCCAGCAGGGGGCTGGAGAGGAAAGCCGCAGGTTAGAACTCTCCCACAGCTCAATGCCAGGAGCCAGGGGAGCAGGAGCCTTGTACAACTGCAATATTTGCATGGCTTGTAAAATGCATGCAGACAAAGAGGCTAGAGGCAGCCAAATGGTTAACAGCAGTTGTGCATGAGTTGGAGCGGATGGGACAGGAGACAAGAGGAGGTCAGGGAAGACAGAAGGACTTTCAACTGTTAGTTTCTACCTGTCTGTCATGTTTGCATTGCTTAAAATGAGCTTGTATTACTTTTGTAATACAAAAGGAAAAGTCAACATAAGACAAAGAAGCCTAAAAGAAAATGAATAATATTTCAAGCACTGGTAAACTTTTTTTAACTGAGCAGAAAAAGTTGGTATTTTGCATCTAAAACTTAAAACTATTTTTAATTCAAAGCAGTTTCCTTGGAACAGGAAAAAGAAACAGGATAACCTTACCCACTAATTGCTAGCAATATCACACTCTCAAATGTTTCTAAAGCAGGATAGCACTGCTAACTTACCAGAGACTAAGAAAATCGTCCCAAGTTCTGAATCGCCACGTCGGAGGGCGTCCTTCCTCTGAGCAGGGCTCAACACTCTGAGAAACGGCAGCTGCAATTGGGATATATAGTCAAGAAATGCATCGTCACGTGTCCTGGGAGGGAAATTTACAACAGAGGTTGGGCCTGGGAGTGCACAGGGAGCTGAGAAGCACTGTGTGCAACTTGCTGAGCTCTGCAGCTGGGGAGAGAAAACCAGAGGGGGCTGGGCACTGCTCCTCACGCCGCAGCTCCCCGCCAAAGTTTTCAGGACTCCGTGACCGAGAAGGGAAAGAGGAGGAAAGAACGTGTGAAGTTGGAACTGTTACCCCCAAATCCACTCCCACTGAAAATCAGTGTATCCCACTCTTGGGAGGTTAATATTCTTTACGTTGCTTGCAGGTTTTCCAAGGCAAATACCATCACCTGGATGAAAGAGAGTTGGAATCCAGTGCAAGACAGTCAAGCCACTATGCGTTAAAATCGACTCAATGGCACACAACAATAACAAGTAGGTTTAATTATCAGCTCTTCCACTAATGAGGATCCCAGGTGGTGTAAATGGTTTGCACTCGGTTCAGACCCCCCCTCACACACCAGCCTGGTGAGCTGCTTCCATAAAGATAACAGCCAAGAAAACCTTTGGGAGCAGTTCAACCCCGTACCACGTGGAGTCACCATGAGTCAGACTCAACTAGGCAGCACTGGATTTGGCTTGTTGTTGTCATTGTCGTTGTTGTCGTTGTCGTTGTTGTTGTTGTTGTTTTGGTCCTTCCACTGTCAAACTTAAAATATCCTCACTTAACCTTTCTGCACCTCAGACTCTGGTCTGTAAAGTCATCGGGGCTGGGCGACTTCAGTAGGTAGAATTATATGCACCATGTGACCCTGCCTTTTCCAGCTTTACCATTCTAAGATTTCAGGCTGACTGCTGCAGATTAGGAGTCCTGGGTGGTGCACAGGGGTTAAGTGCTCAGATACCAACCAGAAGGTTGGTGGTTCGAGCCCACACAGAAGTGCCTTGGAAGAAAGGCCTGGTAAGCTGCTTCCAAAATGTCAGCCATGAAAACCCTACGGAATGCAATTTGATTCTGAAACACAAGAGGTCACCGTGAGTCGGAACTGACATGATGGCAACTGGTTTTGGGTTTGGTGCAGATTAGCTCTTTTAAAGCACAGAGAGATTCCAACTGTCTTTCACATCAAGCTCATTATTTTATTATTATTTTTTTTTTTAACATAAAGTCTCATCTTCCAGATTCTTTTCCATAGTCCGAGTGAAGTGGAATTGTTAGTCAGTGAAAGACACTAAACGCACTGCCATTGACTTGAATCCGAATCATAGAGATCCCCATTGGGTTTCTGAGGCTGTAAATCTTTACAGAAGTAGATCATCCCATCTTTCTTTCATGGAGAGGCCGGTGGGTTTGAACAGCTGACCTTCTGGGCAGTGACCAAATGCCTTATCCACTATGTTACCAGAGCTCCCTGAAAGACACTAAAGGCACGATTTACTCTACATCTAAAATGCATAGCTCCTTCTCCAGAATATCACACAGAGACAATTCATACATTTCTTTGCTGTCCTCAGAAGGTCAGATGAAGAGCCAGAATTTTGCTGGTAAGCAACTGAGCACAGTTCTAGTTTTTAAAAGAGAGGTAGACCCTGTGTTTAAATGGCTGCTGTGATTTAAAACAGATAATACACTGAGGACTTTGATGTCAGTAGTCAACCTGCCCCTGGTATGCTTATTCTGAGATGCTCAGACTTGAAGCAAACTGAGGAATCATCTGCCCCTAGTCGTCTGTGGCCTATGAATTCCCATTGGACAATCTTGTAAGCCAATGGAAAGGAAACACCTACCATAGTTCTGCTGTTGGTAAGAGAAAGAGCTGAAAGGAAGCATGGGAACCTCCCTCCGACCCTCTGTTCACTAGAACATATATGGCCCAGGCCACTGCTGCTGCAGGGAACCTCCTGGGCTGCCACCTGACCAAATCCCAATAGGACACTTATGGGAAGAGCTGGAAGTTGAGAACACACTGCTGTTTTTCCCATGGACTAGTCACCTTTGTGAACTGCTCACCTATATGGACCTATGGTTTGCGGCTATGCTCATTGTCAGTTTCTAGCTGGCACTGATGTGTTAACTGCTGACCACTCCAACGCTAAGGTCATCAACACACTAGAACTTTGCTAACAGCAATAAAAACGCCATCACAGCTATATTAAGACTTAAAAAGCTCCACAGCCACTTGTTCAGTTAGATCTTATCGATTGGTGCTCATCATATGCACCTGAAGACTTCTACCTACAGCTAAGCCTATACGGTATGTGGAGACAGTAGCCCAAGAGCAAACCATGAAAGAGATACCCATTGATCCCAGGATTGTTGACTATGTATCTTGGTGTATACGGGATAGTTATCACCTAGGGTTTGTCAAGCACTATGAACCAGAACTGGCTCAGAGCTTTGAAGAGGGAGAGGGGAAGGAGGGAAAAGGGTTATCACATATAAGGAGCAAGAAAATGCAAATCCAGGAGCAAGGACTTCAAACAGAGGCTGGAGCTTCAACCAAGAAAAATCACAAACCTAAGCCAATAGTCTCAAAGACTGTAAAACCAAAAGACATAGAGACACGGACAAATCTAGAAGGGGTCCCTAGAACAAAGCAAGTCAGGGACATGACAAGAACAAAATCCTTTACAGGATCAAGGGAGGGAACAGCTCACGTGCAATTTTGCTAGAGGCCTGCTTATTACTCCCACTGACTCCACATACGGATGTTTCTAGTACAGATACCACCACTCATCTGTCAGTTTGTCATACTGTAGCGGCTTGCATGTTGCTGTGATGCTGGAAGCCAGAGCCTCATATGCATGTGAGAGCTGGACAGTGCATAAGGAAGACCGAAGAAGAATTGATGAATTTGAAATGTGGTGTTGGCGGAGACTGATAAAAATACCACGGACTGTCAGAAGAATGAACAAATCTGTCCCTGAGAGAGATACAACAAGAATGCTCCTTAGAAGTGAGAATGGCCATACTTCATCTCTCAAACTCTAGTCATGTTATCAGAAGGGACCAGTCCCTAGAGGAAGATATCATGCTTGGTAGAGAGTCAGGGAAAACCTTCAAGGGGATGGACTGACACAGTGGGTGCAATGATGGGCTCAAGCACAGCAATGACTGTAAGAAGGGCACAAGACAGGGCTCTGTTTCCTTCTGTTACACATGTGGTCACTATGAGTCTGAGCCAACTTGACAGCAACTAACAACACAACGACACTACAAATAAATAAAATGATTCAAGTAAAGCATTTACCACCATGGCTGCCATAAGGTACATTGTTAATCTATATGCTTACGGTCGATTCTTGAGAGCACCTTGTTGGTGCCAAGGGCTGCAGGCTGCTTCCTGATGTTCATGCACCCAGTAGAAGGTTGTTGTTGTTAGCTGTTGTCGAGTCATTCTGACTCATGGAGCCCCCATGTGTGCAGAGTAGCATTGCTCCATAGAGTTTTCAAGGCTATGACCTTTCAGAAGCATGTCACCAGGGCTGTCTTCAGAGGCACCTTTGGGTGGGTTCAAACCACCAACCTTTCAGCTAGTAGTCAAGCACTTAAGGGTGGTGGCCCATCAATCTATGTTTCCTGACGTGTGCTGTCTCCACACTCTGCTGCTGCTCTTTGTCTTTCCTCCCACCCCCAGGGATGGACATTCAGATGTGGGGTTTGCAACTTCATAACTTGGAGCTCAATCTTCTTTCTAATCCTTACTTGTAATAATATCATGAGAATTATGGCAGGGAATAATGACAGAAATAATTAGAGGGAGGGAAAAGCATCTACAAAGTGCACAAATTATTTATATTGATCCTATGTCAGAGCTTGAGGAAGACAGCAATGTGAAAGGAGACAAGTCCATCTTATAAATATTTTCCCCTAGTCTGTGACTTGCATTTCCATTTTCTTAAAAGTGTCTTTTGAAGAGTAATAGGTTCTTAATACTTGTGAAGGCCAATTAATTATATTTTTTCATGATCTGTGTTTTTGTGTCCTTTCTTAAGAAATTTTTGTCTAATCCAAAGTCAAGATTTTCTCCTACTTTTCTTCTAGAAGTTTTATGCTTTTAGCTCTTAGATATAGGTGTTCCATGTCAAGGTAATTTGTGCAAGGTATGGGTCGAGGTTCATTTTCTTGCATATGATGTCCAGTTAGTCCAGCACCATTAATTAGCTTAATTATCTCGGCACTGTTGTAAAAAATCAATTAACCATATATCTGTGGGTCTGTTTATGAATTCTTTATTAGGTTTCCCTTATCTGTTTATCTTTGCATTATTACCATTTCAAGACAAATGCAATTTAACTTGGCATTTTGAAGGAGTCTAAGATACGCTGCAGCCCATACATAGTTGCGTGTGCACTGTGTGTACCAGGCACCTG